TTTCAAAGACAAAAAATTGAGCTAACATGTGGCTAGTGGTCTTGGTTGAGCAGCCACAACAGGTTCTACCATTTTTTGTTTCTCCTTCAGTCAACTGTCTTTCTCTACAGAATACAAAGAGTATTTTTTAAGGGGGGCTTGCTTCTGTTGATAAAACTATACATTACCATTTCTTTAGGCTTAGTGGCAAATATATTCCTATTATTTAGCATAAGTAACAGTACAACTCTTTATTATTTATGCTTTTACTGTAACTGCCTGTAAAGACACTGTTTTCTATAGTCACACAGAGTTTTATTCATTATTGCACTTATTTAAAAATTATGGCCAAGTTTATCAGTTGTATTCTCTCCTAATCCAATTTTTCAATACATATGTAGACATGCATGCAAACCTTTCTAAGCTCACTATTTCCTACTGAGAATGGGCTTGGAAAGTTTTCTGTAGGTATAGCAGTGACAGAATGGTTATGGGGTGGGGGGAACAATGGTCCACCACCTTATCCTACCCTTTGTGGCCTGTTGCTGTAAATATCTGTGAGGAATATACTTACAACTCTGTTGTACACTATGGAACTAATGCACTGTGCACTTTCTTCAGAATACATTCTTAGGAAGACAGCCCTGTATCCTTAAGGAAATAAATCCCCAGATAGATCCCTCATCATTCAAAAAAATACCTTAATCTTTGCTTTCAGCATTAGCAGAGCATAGGTATTGATCTTTTCTGAGAAGGATAACTGGTATATACAGTCCATAGCATAAAATAGATGTTAGCAGCAAACAGTAGTTTCATTTAAAACATTTACAAACTGTTCTAGTGGGCAGAACTTCTCTGCAGTTAGCTTTCGTCAGGCCCCATCATGTAGCAGCTGGATTTTCCTGCCTTCATTTGTAACTTTTTTAGTCAGGCATTGTAATCTGTGCTTCATAATCATATTAAAATATATCACTTCCTAGAGAGTCTCTTGTGGTGAACAAGAAGGATGTAAGCTTAACATCTTGTGCAAAGCTTTGTCCAGTGAAGAGCTGTTCCCATTATGAGAACAAACTAAAACAGAACATACACAAGATTGTCTGGCTCAGCTACAGGAGGACTGTCGCATATTACTGGTCTTAAAAAAAAGGGTAGTAGGTGTACCCTATTTGAAAGTGAGTAGTACTACATTTACCTTATCGGGATTGAGTGTGCTTTTTCCTGTTGCTCCCCTTTCTATAATAGCTAGCTATCAACTGGAATCAGGGGAAAAGCAGCAGCTACTTTTTTTTTCAGTCCCCCAACCTAAGGTAGGATCCTTTAAGTTGTAATGGCACACTACCTCTAGAAAAAAAAGCCTAGCATTTTTATTATTGAGTTTGAGGGAGTGGTAAGAGATCTGGTAAGTAGGCCTTACAGCTTCATTTCTCATGGCTTGCAGTGACATCACTGTCTAGTTTATATTGGAAAAAGAAGAAGTTGAGTGTTAATTTTTGGTCTGCTAAAGAAAGCTCCAGGCAAAGAGGAGACCTGCTTTGCTATTTTAGAGGATAGCTTGATTCTGTTGCTCAGAGATTACACAGGCAATGATTTGGACTAGTTAGGTGAAAAAACCAAACAGGACCACTTATCTGTAATGGAGGTACAAACTTAAAGGTGCAGGTGTCATCCTTTAACATCTCGGCTACAGTTGGAAAGTTTGAGGAAAGCTCTCTAGCTTACCTGTTTTCTGTAGTTGATCCAGAGTGGTTCAGATAAGGCATGCACAAATTCCTTATGAACCAAATACATTGGAGCAAGCTGGGGAAGCTTTTTAGCTTGGTCATGCCTCACTCACATCTGCTGCCTCTTGCTAGAGTCAAATTGTTATACCTGTCCATTTGCCTACTGGGAATTCCTGCTCATCTGGACTGGGAGGGACATCTGGAAGTAATTGTTGACCTGCTTCCCCCCCTTCAATTCCAGAGCTTGTTAATAAATTATAATTATTCTTACACCACATCCTACATTTATTTTCAGCACTGCAACTAGAAGAGCAAAGAGAAATCAGATATATAAACCCACTGCAGTTATGCAGCAGCTGTTTCTGTCATCATCACAGCAGCAGGACCAAAGTCAAAGCAGCCCTGATTGAATCTGTTGGGAACTAGCACAGCAGGTCCAGAATTGTTGGTGTAAACACCTTCCTCTAGCATGACATCAGACCAGGGATAAACTTGACAGCCATTTTTTTCACTTTATGATATAGGACCAATTCTTCCATTGCCAATTTTATAATGTGATGCAGGCCACTCTGAATTCAAAATAGATTTACTAACAATGGTTGGATGCTGTGTTGCTAGGTGTAACTGAGCACTAAACCAGCACACTAGACAAGATGTAGAAGCTTATCCATGATACATGGCTATTAAGCACCCAATTACTTCTGTTGCAGCTTCATCACTTGCTGCTAGGAAACAGTACCACTAATTTCTTCAAAATGCTGGTGATGAATAATCTACCATGAAAATTGCAGAAATTCCTTGGTCCCTGCACAATTAACTAACTGGAACAAACACAGGGTAGAATAAATGAGCAAATATTTCCTTGGCTGGCAGGAAGACATACAAAATGAGGAATTCCTCCTCCATGACTTAGTGCAAAACACCTTTCTCACTCACAAACTGCTCTCTCACACCGGCTGTCCTGAAACTGATTTTTCTCAGCTGTGGTTCCTGTTGTTTCCACTGAGGAGGTCTGTTGCTCTGGATCAGAATAAGATGGCTTAACATTTATATATTTTGATGTAACAGCAAGAAAGGCATTTTGATCCTGTAAACAGAGGATCCTAGCTTTTTGTTTTGTTATCAACTCTGGACTGTTGTTTTCATAACTTTATTCAGTCTAGCCCAACTTCTTCAGACTCCCTTCAGCTTCACTGGGAGTTAACTGAGAATGGAAATAATCTAATTGCTCAATCAAGTAGCAACTGACTGTCCTCAAATGTTCTGCATGTGCTTAAGTTATTTGAGTAAGATCATGCTCCAGGAGTTTACAACATATGAAAATAACCTTTGAAAACAATTAGACTCAAATTCTTCTATGCAGAAACTAATAAATGGAACCAGGCCCCTGGCTTGTTGACTTGCTTCGTTAGCTCTTCTGTTTCTAGCTACCCTGTTGCCTCCTCTCTTGTTTTTCAGACCTGCCCATGCAGTTTGCAGAAGTAGCTGTATCAGTACTAATTTACCTAAAAATTGTTTTGCAAGGAGGTAGCTCAGGTGTTTTTATGTCTGTGACATAGCTAATTTGTGACTGGATGAGCTGCCAGGAATAACCAAGGAGATGGCTCTATATGAGCTGATACTGTTGGTTCATTCCTGTGGGAAAGAAGTGTATCTTTCTGGCATATGTCAATTGTAGGAGTCCATAGAAAAAGGCCATAAAATAGATGGTTTTCCAATAGAAAAACACTTCCTCTTCTGAGGCTATTAAGACTCAGAGCAGAAGCAGCAGCGAATGATGACAGTGCTCTGAGGTAAAGAAGAAGAATATAACCAGAATATTTGTTGTGAAGAATCAAGGAGTCATGGGGTATTTTTAATAACACTTCATATTAGCATGTGAAGTGAGTTTTGGAAAAGCCAAGGGTCTAAATGCAATGATATAACTGCTAGAGATTGCTTGAGAACAGTTGTTCTGGCGTCTTTGGAGATGGAAAAATGCGCTTATTTTTATATTGATCCTAGAACATGTGTAACGTGAATTGGTGACTTATATTCACCAAACATCTGAAGTCTGGTATGTTTTTGGGTGAAGAGGGGGAACAGAATTTGTATGGGTCAGAGACGGAATTACAGAGGCAGGTATGGGTCAGAGACAGAATTACAGAGGCATGTTTCAGGCTTTCAGCTCTGTTTCCCCTACAGGTTCCGTCAGTATGGACTTGGTAAAGGCTTTATTGGGAAACAGTAATTTTAACGGAACAGGCAAGCATTTCCTTCAGATTCAGAAGTGGCTTGTGTTGTTTCACAGGGTCAGTGCCCGGTACCTGATGTCTGTTTACTTCAAAGTGAATATGTAGTAAAACACTCATGAATACTCTGTTACTGACAGTCTTGCCTGTTAGTGATTGTAGCCTTTTGTATTACACAGCTTGTGTTGGAGGAAGTACCATAAAATTCATATATTTTCGTAATGACAAAAACACTCGGCTTTCATGACTGTTGCAGTGCAGGTTAAGCAGTGTTGTTTCTCAGTGAACATATGCAAATACTTGCATTAGTCATTTGCTTTCAGCAGTATCTGTAGCCTCCGTAGTGGTTTACAAATGTAAGTATAGACTTAACTGTTGTACCACAACAGCATAACTTTGATATCTTTAAGCATAGCTGTGCTGCTTCCATTAAACGGTGTAAGCTGCAAACAAAAAAAAACAAAGATCTTTTGCAGTTTCTTTAACCAGCAGGTAGAGTCTCTTGGACACAGGGCAGCAGAAAATGTCAAACCAGCTGTAAGCTATAACATATGTCAAATATATGGCATTCTGACAGATAAATTGGTTCTAAATACTTACAGCTTCTCATAACTTCTTGTGGCTTACTGGTCTTTTTACATGACTACAGTAAATTCCTGCCTACAAAGAAGAACATGTACTTGCTGAGGAGCAGCTTAAAAAGGGTTTTGTTGTGTACACACCATCTTTGCTGCATTAACAAACTTCAGTTGTTACCTGTGCAGTACAGATTTTTGTAAGGCAGTATTAAAGGAGAAATCAAATTATAAAGCTTGGAAGGGAATGGGAGATCTGAGCCTAAAAGCCTGAGAAATGGGATCAGTATATTTTTCTTAGATGTACTGATTATTTTTTAAAACGGGTATAACTATTTGTCAAGTAACTCATTGGTGTAATGCTCTTTTTATTTTAAGGCTCACCAGCAGAGCAGAAAAGCAGACCGTTTGTTAGCAGCAGGGAAATATGAAGAAGCCATTTCGTGTCACAAAAAAGCCGCTGGTGAGTAGGAATTTCTTACATGCCATATCTTAAAATCGGTTTCTATATTTGCATGCTTCCTGAAAGTAAAAGATCTAGTTACTTGCAGAATTTTTATTCTTAAAATGTTAATTTGGTTTTTAGTCCCCATCAAGCACCCTTTTGGAAACATTTTTCCTAATCTGAATGGCTAAAGTCACATGTTTCCAAAGTTATTTTGATTGGTGTGGATAAAAAACTGTGAAGGCAGTTCTTGACCGAAGATGAAGCCAACATGCAGTTGGGAGCCTGGTGTAAGCCAGCTTCACTTTACAGTCTGTATTTTCTTCACTGCTTTCATAGCCAAAGTCACCTGCTTTCTATGTTGATAAAGGAAATACTTAGACAAATGTTTGCTTGCAGAGTACTTACTTCCCTTTCCTAATGTCTGAATCAAGACAGCTAAGAAGAGGTGATGAGCTCAGCTTTCCCAGAACTTCAACAAAACAGCAAATTGCATTGCAGGCCTTGGCACTGTGATTGACAGCCTCTCCTAAGTGAGACTTTGTGCATTTACCTGTCCATTTAACTAGTCATGCTTAATTATTTGTGTTGGAGCCTGTCAGCTGTGTGACAGTGCAACTACTGCTTGGCAGAAGAAGAAAGAAGAGGTCTTAATTGGTGCAACAAGTAGGACATTTCCAGTGACAGCGCTTGTGTGGAGACAAAATAAGTGGCTGCTCCAAACATCGTAACCTAGATACCAGGCGTTCTCACTTTGCATTCATAAATACTAGAAAACGCCATAAAATGAGAAACTGATAGTTTCTTTAGTATTTATGAATAGTCAGAGCAATGAGGGATAGCACTTACATTCTAATATGCAGACTTATCTTGTTTCCTTCACTCCATATACCAAGACAAAACCCAGAAATGTGTTGAATATTTCTTGCTTTTCTTTATCTGATGACTCTGTGCCACTATTTTACATCCTTCTGTATTTGGTTAAGAATTCCTTATACTTTGTCATTTTCAGCACTAGCAAGGTAAGTGCTGCTCTGACTTTAAGCCAGCGCATTTTCTGGTTTGGAGAGGAAGCTGATGAAAGAAGTGGAGAGCTACAGACTATATACCTCTTTGTCAAAAGGCATGACTTCGTAATACTGGCTTGCCATGGGCAAGAGGATTTTACTTACCCCATTTTGTCTTTAAATGGTTGTATGTTAGAAGTCTGGTCCTTGGCTGTGTTTCTTCTCTTCAGGGGAAAGTTGTTGTTCTGGGACTTCTTGGAAATGGCTGCTGTCCTCCCCTGAAAAACGAATTGAAACAACCCAAGCTAACAGGATGCCATGGGAAGGGTGTGGTGCTTGTTAAATGATCTTACAGTAATTTTTTCAGACTTTTGAAAAACATCAGGTGTTTCCAGCCACTGTAACTTGGTAAATACTTTGCCTCTGGACTGCTGCTTTTGTGTGGGGATTCAGAATACTGAAGGTCTGAGGCCTTTTCTTAGCTTTTATAGAAATGTTCAGGTTTTGTAACCCTCTCCTAAGTGTTTATCAATTTTTTCTTCTGCAGCATACCTAACAGATGCTATGAAGCTGACCCAGTCAGAGCAGGTGAGACCAAAATGCAGCAGATGCCAGAATTCGCCATAGCCCTGCTGTATTCCTGTGTGTCATACGCCTCTTGGGCATTAGCCTCTACATAGTTGCCTGAACTTGTGTCAGCTGCACCAAGAGTTTTGGAAGTACAGTGATGCTAGCCTTCCTTGAGAGTTTTTCCAAGTTTATGTGGAGCAGGGATGAGAGAACTACTAACCCATCCACGGGTTCTCCAACAATGGTTTCTAGTTTGCAAGGCATCCTCAAGTAGGTGATAAAACTAGTTCCATATTTAACTTTTGCTGTGAGGTACTTAGGCTGTTCTGCTGAGGCACGAAGCTGAGCATCTCAGCTGCAGTCTGTAATTTTGGATTTATTCATCCTGACTTGGCGACCTCCAGAACAACAGGCCTGCACCTTTCGTTCTTGATTACACAAATCTATCTGTAAATTCAGCAGTGTTGTCTGCTTCGTACTTTCTTAGCAGCAGGCTTTTAGTTTAGCCAGTATTATCAAAGCAAATGACCCTTGAAGATCAGACACCTGTCTTTTATCCAAAAGATCATTATTGTAGAAAAATGGAAGCCTTTTACCCAGGTGGTTCCTGTGAGTTACTAACCACCATGCCACCCCCTTCATTAACTATGGCTGAATCATTTGGGACCATATCTGGCCTTGGAGCACTTTTCTGCTTAGTGTTGGGTGTTATTAATGTCTACACAGATACCACCACAGAAGCATACATATGCTTTGTATTATTTAACTAAAGCATGGCTGTGCACGCCAAGTGACTCCTTTCCTGATGTTGGTCATAGGTCAGTTAAACAACTAGTACCTTCTCTCAGAGATAATGTAGCCTGGTCAGTGACTTAAAAACAAAAAGACCGTATGTTAACTCCTTCACAATTCCAGTAGTGACTCTAAATTTGGGTGACACATCTGAATCTGTTGCGTAGTACAAGCAGCAAGCACTTCTAGTTGGATTTAATATCTGAAAAAACAAAAGCTCCTCCCCTCCCTTGGGCATGCTGTGATGCTGTATATATAAATATTTACATGTGTGTAACTTTATGTGTGTGAATGTTTGGGTGGCATTAGGGATCACCAATTAAATTGTTTAATCTTGTTCTTACTCAGGCTCAGCTGTCACTGGAATTACAAAGGGATAGTCACATGAAACAGTTACTGCTCATCCAGGAGAGGTGGAAAAGGGCAAAGAGGGAGGAAAAGCTGAAAGCCCAGCAGAATGCTGACAAGGAAATAGCTTCACACCTTCAGGCTTCTTATAAGCCATCTTCTGAAGACTCTGATGATCAAAATGTACTGGTTCCTGTTACTCAGAAATACAGTCCTTCCACAGAGAAACATCCACATGATATTCAGGGTGTCTTTGACAGGGACCCGGATACACTCTTGTTTCTGCTTCAGAAAAGAAAGGAGCCGGTGGAAGCATGTATTGGGAGCAAAGCTCCAAAAGACGACAAAACAATAATAGAAGAGCAGGCAACCAAAATTGCAGATTTGAAGCGGCACATAGAATTTCTTGCAGCTGAAAATGAGAGATTAAGGAGAGAGAATAAGCATTTAAAAGCAGAAAGAGCGAGACTCCAAAAATCTCCGGTAGACAAGGAGTTGGATGTAGATGCTGACTTTGTCGAGAAGTCAGAGTTGTGGGGTCTGCAGCAACACTCGGAAACTACTTCTTCAGCTGCAACTTGGCAGAAGTTTGCCACAACTGCTGGGAAGGCAAAGGACATTCCAATACCCAATCTCCCACCCCTGGACATCCCATCCCCTGAGCTCCCTTTGCTGGAGCTCTCCGAAGATATACTGAAAGGACTGATGAATAGTTAAAAACCAGGAAAAATACTCAATGTACTTACTCAAACTTAAGAAAAGGGAAAACCACCAGGACAGCTGTGCTAGCTGAGGGCAGAAACATCTAACACAATCCTGCTGTTGGAGGAAAGGCATTAAAGCAACTTTGTTACTGTGAAATACACATCATATCTGATCTACTTCATAAAAGTCAGCGGTACCATAATCGGTATAAGGTGGCAAGATCTTTAGTCTTTCTCCCATTGTTTCAAACCAAATGACTGCCTGGAGAATGTTTCAAGTAACAAAATCCTTCAGGGTTTTAAAGTATGCTATATGTAATAGTTATCTACAATGCCATAAATGATGGTGCAGAACCTAACTGTTATGGTTGCCGGTCGGCTGCCACATATTGAAAAAATGCTTTCTAGCATGAATTTAAACTGTGCATTTCATTATGCATAACTTTGCTAATTCAAGTACCGTGCAATTTATACACCTCCTAGATGGATTTATGTGCCACACTCTATACTCCTGACCATGTTAACCTGAAGCCAGGAGAGATGTTAATTTCCATTCTATGAAGGAACCAACTTATTAGTTCTGTTGACGAGTTTTTGGGGGGTTATCTGTTTACATAACTAATCAGGGTGCATTGAATCTAGGTATTGGTTTCTGTATAAAGTGACATTGTTTAAAAAAAGAAAAACATACTTAAGGAAAAATGCCCTTTTTGTTTTCAGCGATGCATGAATGGAAGTAATTCTAGCTGGCAGTATTTGATTGAAAAAGAAATTGTTTACAGCTTAACCTGATTCAAAAAGGATATGAAAATAAAAAACAAGGTGTTTTGACACTAAATGTGTGTTAAATCTCTACAAATGTTGCAAAGTATAAGTAACAAATTCAGGTTTTACACTAACAGTGTTAGTACACACCTACTGCTGAACTTCTGTGTTCATCATCCAGCAAATTCAGGAACGCGGGGATGAATTCAGAGGGCCTTGCCTATACATCACATGGCTTGGCCAATGCCTGGCTTCTAACACCTACAGAGAGCTGAAGTGGAGGAAGAAGCACTTGGGTTTGCTTGGGGACAGGCTCCCTGGAGCTGAATGAATGGTGCCCCGAGAGCTGTGCACTCCCACTTGGGGCTTTGGTTCCTGAGCCCTCCGCACAGTCAGCCCCTCTCAGCGTGGGTCAGCTCATGCCTGCCCCTAAGCTTCATTAGCCCTAACCGTGTGCTGGAGTGTTACCTGAACCCAGGCTTTCCCAAGTGGAGGCAGGGGGGCAATGTGTAGCGGAGGCATTAGTTAGCTTTAGCAGTTAATGAAATGGTTAATGAAAAGTGGTGAGTGTTGAAAACTAAACAATTTTAAGTTACTTTTGTGCTGTTACAAGGTAATCTTGCTTTCCAGGAGTACCTTTTTCTTCCAGAAGAGACTTGGAAATGCAGCATTTGCTCCCTAGTGCTGTGCAAATTCTCCCCTTACCTCTGTACAGCTGGTGTCGCCTATGCACGCTTGAAGGAGAGTAGGGACTGGAGGCTAGAAAAAGAGCTCTGGAAACAAAGGTAAGACCGGTTCATTAGAGGAGGTCCCTTGTGCTGGATTCTATGAGGAAACTAATTTTGCTGGGGGAAAAAAAAGTTGTATTTCAGTTGGAACAGTTCAGCACATGGCTCCACAGAACAGCTGTGATGAGGTGACCTGTTCCAGGTCAGCCCCAGCTCTTGCTGCTCCCACAAAAAGGCAAGATACCTTCTCCACTGTCACCTGCCTGGCTGGCTGTTGCAGGTAACAAGACAGCAGTTAGTGAATAGTGCTTGTGTTTTGCGTAAGTAAAGCAAAGAAAACGGTATGTGCTCACAAGAAGGAAATAAAATTATTTAAGCACCTATCTCATGTCACTGCCAAGGGCTGTAAGCTACAGGCAGACATTTCAGCTGTCTGCAAATAGCAACCAGAGAAGAATCCAATTTTTAGCCTGGCTACCTCTGCTGAAGGGCCAGGATTCTTTGGAGGGCAGGTAGGGGAATTGTAAGCTCTACCCGCTGTTTTTAAGACTGGACTATTATGTCATATATAGCTGCATACGCAGAACAGCAGGTCGCAGGGAAGCTGCTTCCCTGTAGGAAGACAGCCAAGCAGGGGCAAAACTCCACATGGCCACTTTTGAAAAACATTGTTAAAACTTTTCTCTTTCCTGCAACACAAATGTGTGTTTGTTCTTGCAGTCCGGCCTACTCAACACAGCTGCTGCTGAAACCCACCTCTAGGCAGTGTGGCTTAGCTCGAGAGTTCCAGTCCCATGAGTGAGGCAGAAGGGAGAATGGCTGAAACCTTCCCTTTGATAGGACAGGAGCACCTAGCTGCAGAGTAAGCCCTGCTGACATTACCTGAGGCCCCAAGAAGGCAAGGTGGAAAGCTGGCCATTTCCGTGTAATACTGAGTGTGTCCCAGAGCTGCAGCAGGTGACACCAGTAAAGAGTCTGACTACGACCTGGTCTACTGCACAGGTGCTGCTGCTGCTGCTGCCTTAGCACTGCCAGCCTCTTGCCTCCTTCCCTCCCATGCAGCAGCACAGTCATGAGGCCTGCAGAGAAAGGTGGGTGGGATCAGGTAGGGTCACCTCTTTCAGCAGCAACATCCTAGAGCTGAGAATTCATTGAATGATGGATAATCCTGAGTAACTTCCTGTTCCTTCCTGCCTCCAAGTGTTTTCCCTGAACATGTATAATAACTTAATTACATCTTTCAAATATCCATAAAAAGAAAAGATCCTTGGAGTGTTGCAGAACTGCTTTTACAGAAAACAACATTTGAGATAAGTTTGAAACAAAAAATACAAGATTAAAATTACTATCAGCAAGTGTCCCTGAGACTTCTGCAATCTGACCTGCACTAGATAGAGCAGATGGGGAAGAAGGAGCAAGGGATGCAGCATCCATCTCTGCATTCAATAAAGTTACTTTTCCTTATGAAGTTCCTTATATTCCAGGGGAAAAGCTAAGTGTATGAAATAAGAGGAAATATTTTAGTTTTTCACAGTAAGGAATTACAGTCTGAAGAATGAAAGGTTGTATAGAGAATCCTCGCCACTAGAGGACAAGTTTTATTGATGCATAGTGACAAACGTAAGGAAACGCTTCTCCAGCGTCTGTTAGAGGTTAATTTATGCCTTAACATTTTAGAACTGTTTTAAATTATTATCGCCATTCAGTTCGTGCGAGTTTTGGCCTCGGGAAATGATGGAGACGTCCGGTTTAACTCCCCTGCCTCCACCGCCTGCCTGTCTTACCTTCTCCCTCCCGTCGGCCAGGCCGAGGCCGGGGCCTGGGCCGGGCTCGGGCGCCACCTAGCGGAGCGGAGGCGCCGTGCGCGGCTCTTGCTGGAGCTGTAGGGCCCCGCTCCCCCGCCGTGCCACAGCGGCGGCCTGTCCTCGGGCCTCCTGGAGCCCCCGGGCAGTGAGCGCCCCGCCATTGCGTGCACCGTCCTGCGGCGAGTACCGCGGCAACGCAGCGGTGCGGTACCGGGCAACCGCAGTCGGCACGGGCGGGCAGCCTCAGCTGTGCTGGTTTGTACCCAACGGAACTCAAAGCGGCTGAGGTTAGTTCAAAGTGTCTCACCAAGGGCCAATTTTAAACATAGGCCCAGACACTCACTGCTATTCATAGAGTTCACTTTACCACAGCAGCCACGCTTGTCTTGAACACAGAAATACTATCCCTGTCAAATATAGCCAACATACGCTTGGCAAAAAGAGATCGTAATTACCCAGCCTCTGACTGTATCTCTGCAGAAGGAGAAACCAATGAAAGGCAACTGAGAAGCAATGCGGAGAGTCTCTTGAGAATAAAACCTGCAGACTGCACCACCCATTGCTGCTTACAATGGCAGCTAAAGCCAAAATACACAAGTGTTGGGGTTTGCGTTTTGGTTTCATATGAAGGGAAAAGGGGATCTTGTGACCTCGTCCCCTGAGAGCATTTCCATTTTCAGGAAGCCTGGCCCTGAACTCCTTCCTCGTGTCCTGGCAGCAGCAGCTCTTCAGCCATCTGCAATTCCTGTTGACCTGCTTCCAGTGGTGGGGGCTACACCTCACCCAGGCCACCCTTCCCAGCAGACACTGGGCCAGGTGACCTTTCAAGGCCCCTTCCGCACCCTGGGCTGTTCCATGCTCCCCCAAAAGCAGGCTCACTAGGAAAACAGGAGGAGAGCAAGTACAGCCACAACAGCTGACAAAACCCTCACTGAACTGGACTAAAAATACAGCAGAAAACAAAATCAACCAGTCCAACTGCCCAGAAGTAACCAGAGTGGTAGCATGGCTGCTACAAATCAAATACAGGCTGGGCACCATTTGCCAGACCTTTCTGCCTGGGTATGTGGCCCCTGGAGTTCAGCTGTACAAAGAGAGTCATTGCTCCCTCCAGACACAGAGCTACAGCCCTCATGTCCTTCATCTCCTTCTCTCCTGTGTTTGTTTTACCAGAAGTAACCTAAACTTATCCAGGCTTTGTGTCTTGTAATCATCAGAAGTGCTCCCTCAGGCTCATTTGCTGCAGGAGTTCAGGTATTATTGAGATCAAACAGCACAAAATCCTTAGAGCTGTGAAAATACAGGATTTCCTGCCTCAGAGCTACTAAACCCTGCAATTCCACTAAGGAAGCACAGAGCTAGGATAAAACCACATGCTCAGGGACTGGAAAAAAAAACAACAGGCATCTGTGTCAAGACTACATCATAGTGGTATGGTTGGAAGATACCAAAGTGTTCACTTTGAAACGTAACAGCAGAAATCCTTCAGTCTACCACTTAGCTTTAGAAAGGCCCGTGTTTAAAATGCAGTTGTTTGTGTGCAACACACCAGGTAAAACACGTCTTCAGTCTGCTGTGAGACAAGATTTTCCTACTTGCTATATATAGATCATCACTTCCTTTAACCTATGAGAACAAACACAAGATGTGCAGAGGTTGGTCTGGGTGCGCGGCTGAGGCTGCGGATCATTTGCTCCTTGGTCAGAGTTTCCTCAGCTGCCCTGCTGAGATGGAAAGAAAGGGACATGATGGTGGAGGCCCCATCAGAGGAGCCCCCACGCCACTGGCGTGCTCCCCTGCCCTCCTGGGGCACACATATCATGGGAACACAAAGGCGGGGAAAGGAAAGCAGCACTCGGGCTAACAAAGCACAAGTCAGGCAGTGGAAAACAGGAGCTTTGCAGAGGCAGAGCTGGGGGTTAGGAGCAGAGAGCACAGCAAAGCCTCTGTCAGGGAGTCTCCACTGGGAGAGGCAGCTTGTCCATTGCGGATGTGGGGAGAGCACAAACATCCTGCTCAGGAAAGCAGCAGAACAGGGTGATGGTGGCTGTGGAATGAGGAAGGGAGGAAAATTCCCAGTGATGGGCCTGGGGCAGGGAAGGCTGTCAGCTGTGAGAGGGCTCGACAGGATGTCACGGGAGAGAGTACAACAGAACTACCACCTACCGAAAAGGTCAGAGAGCATGAGAATGTAGAGCTGATCAGATGGGGTTCAGTTTACACACACAGATCTGAGCAACTTCTGTGAAGTTGGAAGAGTAAACAGATTTTTAAACCAGACTGTTATAAGCCCCTGCACCTCTGACCTGCGTAATGGGGACCACGGTTTCACTGCTGGCAGTTCCAGCAATCCAGGAACATGTGTTTCAGCTAAACCACCTACACCATCACACATCTGTGCTGAAATTCTCCAGGTCACAGCAGCCCCGCTTTATTCTGTGCCAATTACTTACTCTTTGTTAGTTACCTCTGCAGTTACAATAGGAAGAAAGTCGTTTACTGTGTGGCATTGCAGTGTATGGAGATGATGATGAGGTGGA